AGCTGTCACGGGCTGCTTCCTGGTGTGTGTGTGTGTGTGTGTGTGTGTGTGTGTGGTGTGGGAAAAAAAGTAGTTAGTAAACAGTTGATTGACAGTTGAGAGGCGGGCCAAAAGAGCAAAGCTCAACCCCCGCAAAACACAACTAGTAAACAACTAGTAAACACATGGGTTGCCACACACGTGGACTGCCACAGGAAGGATCGATGCCTCATTATCGGGACGAGAACCGACCAACATGCTGGTAATCTGGCCGCTGCTACCAGAGCATTGTCGTTCCCTCTAGTACCCGCTCCCAGCTGTGTTACAGCACCCGACGCGCGTATTGGCCGCCCCTGCCGCTTACAGAAACATTATATATATATATATATATATATATATATATATATATATATATATATATATATATATATATATATATATATATATATATATATATATATATATACTAGCTGTACCCGGGCACACCTACCCTCCCGTCCTCCCCACCATTTCCCTCTCCCTCGTCCCCTCGTCCTCCCACCCATCCCCCTCTCCCTTATCCCCTCGTCCTCCCCTCCATTCCCCTCTCCCTCGTCCCCACGTCCTCCCACCATCCCCTACTCTCCTGTCCCCTTGTCCTCCCTAACATTCTTCATTCCCCCGTACCTTAGTCCCCACCCTCCCCCACTCCCCCGTCCCCTCGTCCTCCCCCACCATTACCCCCTCCACCGTCCCCTTTTCCTCAACAAACATCAAATGATCTGATGTTCGCATCACTGAAAAATAGGAAGAACAGTTAAAAAAAACGAAATGAAAAACAATGAAAAAATAAATAATAAACTATACTCACGAAATGAACAGTATGGTAAACAACACAGCTCAATTCCAATGCAATGTCACACAAAATAATTAAATCAAAATGAAAATATATCGAATTCTATGAAAATTCAATTTATCACTGCAATCGGAAACATTGAAATGGAATTTTAACATATTTAGTATAGTGTGTGTTGCTTTTACGTCCAACAGATGGCGCTGTTTTTCCAAAAAGCATGTTTTTACCTGTCACAAGTGCGGCATGTACATAGTAGGTATATAAAAACACGCTCGTATTCGAATGCAACGTTGTGTCAAAATTTCAAAGCAATCGGTGAAGAACTTTTCAAGATTAGCGATTTTAAACAAACGAACATTTACAGTTTTATTTATATAGATATGTGTGTAAATTACGGAAATTAACACGTGATGAATATATATATATTTATATATAGATATATATATGTGATGGTCTGGCAGCATCTAGACTATCGATAACACACCAATATTATGCCCCCCCCCCCCTGACGCTTCACCAGCTTCAGATTGGGGGGGGAGGGGAATCTGTCACTGGGAATTAAAGATTCACACAGCTTCTAATTCAACTAATTGCAAGCCACTTCACAAGTTCCTGTATTGACTCATTCTATTTATATTTTTTTTTGTTAAATGCTGCTCTGAAAATATTTAAGACTCTATTTACTTAAATATTGAAGACTCTATTTACTCTATAAGACTATCTTTACTACCGATGCTGCAACGGGAGACGATCAGTATCTTCACTCTAGATGCCTCACAAGGAGATGAACAGCATCTTCACTCGAGATGCCCCCCAATAAGATCAAAAGCCTAATCAAATTCTATTCCTTCAAGAGGTTCAAACTATAGCTTCATCTCCGTCTCAGTTCAGTAAACATCTCACTACTACGACATTTTTTTAGTAACTGAGATGAAGACTTGATCTTGCCGTGTCCAGCAACGAGGAGGCCTGGTCGACGACCGGGCCGCGGGGTCACTGAGCCCCGGAATCACCTCAAGGTAGCCTCACCTCAAGGTAAGGTGTTTACCTAAACAACTGCTCGAGGAGAAGCCCACGAAGCCTTCTGAGCACAACACTCGACCTCTTCATAACATCAAGTCATGTTTCAGACTACGGGCTCGCCATAGCCCGTGCTACTTGGAACTTTTTGTTCCAGGTAGCGAATCTTAAACAACAACAACAACAATCAAGTTTCAGATATTTGATCACATCAGACTCGGCCAATAGGAGTGCTGGAGCTCTTAATAATTAACAGATAAACTGATACAATATTTCTTCTTTTAAGTATGGTCACGCCCTTTTGTTAAGGCCTGACGGCTAAGTGGACAGCGCTTGGGATTCGTAGTCCTGAGGTTCCGGGTTCGATCCCCGGTGGAGGCGGAAACAAATGGGTAGAATTTATTTCACCCTGATGCCCCCTGTTCAGTAAATAGGTACCTGGGAATTAGACAGCTGCTACGGGCTGCTTCCTGGAGGATGTGTAAAAAAAAGGAGGCCTGGTCGAGGCGGCGGGGACGCTAAGCCCCGAAATCATCTCAAGATAACCTCAAGATAACCCAAGATTATCATGGATAACATGGAGAAACTCTATGTTTCTCTTAAGGGAGGACACATGTGTGTCTTACCACGCCAGGCAATATTTCCAGTTCAGGTTTAAGCCGACCA